ACCTCCCTTGGCAATTTATTGCAATATTTGACCACCCTGACGGTTAGGAATTTTTTCCTAATGTCCAATCTAAACCTCCCTTGCTGCACTTTAAGCCCATTACTCCTTGTCCTGTCCTCAGAAACCAAGAGGAACAAATTTTCTCCTTCCTCTTTGTGACACCCTTTTAGATATTTGAAAACCGCTCTCATGTCCCCCCTTAATCTTCTTTTTTCCAAACTAAACAAGCCCAGTTCATGAAGCCTGGCTTCATAGGTCATGTTCTCTAGACCTTTAATCATTCTTGTCGCTCTTCTCTGTACCCTTTCCAATTTCTCCACATCTTTCTTGAAATGTGGCGCCCAGAACTGGACACAGTACTCCAGCTGAGGCCTAACTAGTGCAGAGTAGAGCGGCAAAAGGTCATCGTGTCCAGCCCCCCGCCCTCAAGGCAGGATCAAGCTCCGTCTACACCATCCCTGACAGATGTCTATCTAACCTGTTCTTAAATATCTCCAGAGAGGGAGATTCCACCACCTCCCTTGGCAATTTATTCCAATATTTGACCACCCTGACAGTTAGGAATTTTTTTCTAATGTCCAATCTAAACCTCCCCTGCTGCACTTTAAGCCCATTACTCCTTGTCCTGTCCTCAGTAACCAAGAGGAACAAATTTTCTCCTTCCTCCTTGTGACACCCTTTTAGATATTTGAAAGCCGCTATCATGTCCCCCCTTAATCTTCTTTTTTCCAAACTAAACAAGCCCAGTTCTTGAAGCCTGGCTTCATAGGTCATGTTCTCTAAACCTTTAATCATTCTTGTCGCTCTTCTCTGTACCCTTTCCAATTTCTCCACATCTTTCTTGAAATGTGGCGCCCAGAACTGGACACAGTACTCCAGCTGAGGCCTAACTAGTGCAGAGTAGAGTGGCAGAATGACTTCACGAGTTTTGTTTACAACACACCTGTTGATGTCTCTCCCCCCCCCTTTTACTGTTGACAAAAAGCCATTTGAGACAACTAGCCTCTGCCAGTATCCCACCATACCTACCCTGATGGATCTGCTCAGTGTTTTAGGATTTCTGCAGACCTGCAGGCATGAGCCCTGTCCTCTTTCAAAGCTCTGGGAAGAATCTGAGTGACTCCAAGAACAAATAATTGGAATGCTTATGTTCTGCCCTAAGAACACAGCAGCAAGCAAACTGCTGCTGCACGGGGAGGACTGGAGAGATTGCAGTGCTGCTTTGACATTGTGCAAAACACACTCAGGAACCCCAATTTATTCCACAGTTTAAGAGATGACATTTCCACACCTTAAACATTTGGTAGATCCATCATCACGGAGCATGTTTTTGTATTCATTTTGTGTTCCATAATTGACATTTAGCTTAAAATTTGGACAGAGGCATGGAAGATTAAGACTTCATAAAGATAAGTGAAAGACAGATATGCTGAATAGAGAATATTGTAACCATGTGTTCAGTTACTGTTCACTCTTACAAGTAGCACAACTCATATTGGTTATGAGTTGTGGGTTGCAAAAGAGCCATTATTATTAGCACAAAGTTCTGTTTCTGTCCAAGATGGACAAAAACAAAAGAACAAAATGCTTCTGAAAGCGACGTGCTGTGTATCACTTGCATTAAGTTTGTTACACATTTCAAATTTTATTACTGTTTTCCATAGAGGCAGAAAGCTGTTCAGACTTTTTAAAAAGCTACCGGGAGGGTGACAAAAGGCTGTATTAATCTCTGAACCAATTTAGGTACGTTAATTTGACATTTTATTTTCCTTTTCTACAGATAGAAAGCTTTTGAGGTTTTACTTTGCTCAGTACGAAGAACAGCTCCTTTATTACTGTGTTTTTATTGAAACATTGACTTTTTGACAGTGTCTACAGATAAAATTGTAACTCACCCAAAAAACAGTGCAATTATACTTCTAACAACATCTTGGTTGTAAGTCAACCACTTGCAATAACTGAACGTTCAAGGTGAATGCTGAACAGTTTGTTTGAAGTAAATGCCTGCCGCCACATATGAAGATACGTAGCGTCCGAATCAGGGTTGCAGTAACCAGAATTTTTGGGTTTCCGTGATGTAAGAGTTTTCTGATCTGTGTAGTACTTCCTACACAGACCCAGGCACATCAGCAGAATCTTCTTCCTCTCCATCTCCATTTCCTCTGCTCAGTTTTGCAGGTTTCGCTTTTGTCTTGGATTTTTTCTTACTTGGAAGTTTTCTGCTTAATATGAAACAGCTGTTGTCCTAAGTGAATAGAAAATATAAAAATGGATCAGAGTAAGAGCCAATTATAAAGACAAGATCTGGAGCGAGATTTTGCAAGTAGTTTTGGGAAACATTCTGCATCTGTCAACACCTACCCATTAATAATTCTCATACCTGTATTTCTCAATTAGGGATTGTCTGTCACCCCATAAAAGACCAACAAAATTCTTTGTGTCATGAAGCAGGCTCAGATATGGTATATACAGTAGTCCACAGTCTAGTTCCAGGAAAAATATTTAATCCAAAAATGTTTAATTCTGATTGATTATTCATTTGGTATACCTGCTTTAGAGTGCTACAGGAGAGTCAAGTCAACTAAGGCTTACTTACAACTATTTTGGCACCAAGATCTTCTTGATCGGGATCCAAGTTATGGTCATCATCACTGAAATAAAAAGTGACACGGATTACTTATGTAGTAACAAAATACAAAGACTCAAAGTGGTCTGATTTTTACCACCATAAATACGTTGCATTTCACTAGGTATTATTAGTACTTGCACCTACATAAGGATGTCACTCCTGGCAAAGTCTGATTTCAAGTGAAACTTCCCACAACAATTAGAAGCCATACAGAACAAGCTTTCAATGATATTACGAAGATTAGGATATTCAGGAAGGATCAGGTTGAGAAGTAAGGATACTGAGGAGCAGGTATTTGGCTAATTGTGTAGAGTCAATACAAATTGCATCGACTACACGATTAGTCACTAAGGGGAAGTACTCTGCAGAGTGATAGGTCCATGACCCACTGTGTGCTAGGACTAAGCAGTCCCAGCTCATCCTGAGTCCTGGACCTTTAAAATGTATTAAGAACAGCGAGGCAAGCAAGATGGGAGAGGGGGAAGGGAGCAGTCGATTACTCGACTACTCACTTACATCTCTATTGAGAAGGCCTTCAGAGTGGATATGAGAAAGTGGATAGAGCCACCATGAAGAAGAGCCAAATGACATACTGAGGAGAACAGAGCGGTTAGAGCTGTATTAGAGAACAGAGGAAGCCAAACATGGGCCAAACAAGGTGAGAGGATTGAGTTTGCTACAGATGAGCAACACGTGCAAGCGATAGTTGTAACTTCTATCCAAGAATATTTAACATGCAGAGTCACATGCTCTCTGGTTCTCATTACTTGCGCAGAACAGTCTGCAGAAAGTTTTCTACTCAGCTTTGCACTTCTCTAAATGGAATTCTCTTGAGACTACAGATGTTAAAATGTGTTTTTTTGGTAAAACATGTAACAGCTATAAACTTCAACAGTTACAGATTTACATGTGTGGGGGGGGGGAAGAGGAGGAGTGCACACAGAGAACCATCTTTTAAGCCAGCTCACCATGTGCATTGGCCCTTGCCTTCCCCTCTCCCCTTTTTAAGGCTGTGGTTAGATCTAGGCTTCCCCTCACACAGGGATTCTGTCCACACCAAGCCACCACTATTCAGGTTTCTCCAAAACAATTACTTTTAGCAATTCCCAATCTAAATTTAAACTGTAAAAATCTAAGTTACCAGAGTTTAAAGTTCATAGACCAAGTCTGATAGAAACATGCACAGTGGATGATTGTCTAAGCTCAGGGATGGGGAACCTCAGGCCCCTGAGGCTTGCCTGGATCCAGCCCCCCCAGGGTACATGAAATCTACTAGGCTAGGCCCCCTAGGCTCTGGTGTGTGAGGAAAATGTGGGGAGGGTCGTTCTCCATCACAGTTGGGAGCCATGTCATTGATGGTTTTTTTGTTTCTCACTTGTGTGCAGCCCCCAAGTGATTTTTCTGTAGGTCCATCATCCCTAACCCAAAAAAATTCCCTACCCTTGGTCTAGCTCCACAATGAAATGCAGACAACTTGAACTGAATGCCCAGTTTGGCCACAACTTATGGACCTTAATCAGTTATTTGACTAATCATGTGGTCAATAAAAAAAAAGTATCAACTACACGATTAGTTAACTGAAGAATGTGCTCCGGGAGCTACCCCAACTACAACTCTGCACAAGTAGGTCCCGGACCCAGCATGAGCCAGGCTTGCTCAGTCCCAGTTTGTGCTGGGTCCAGCAGCCCTTGTCCATGGAGGGGAAGGGGGAGGGAAGGTTCCTCTTTGAGGCAGCAGCGCGAGGGGTGATGGGGGCAAAGCTGCACTTAGACGAGTCAACAGGGGGAACCTGTCTCAAGCCTGCTCTTCCCAGCACCAGCTCTCCCCGCTTGCTGCCTCCAATACAGAAGCAGCAGGGGAGGAGTCGTCGACATGACTACTCTGTAAGTCTGGAGTATTACAGAGATGGGAAACCTGCAGCCCCTGGCTTGCCTGGATCCAGCCCCTGAGGCTCAGCTCCCCCCCCACTTGGTCCTGCCATGAGGGCAGGGGACTGCACTATGACCTCTCAAGGTCCCTTCTAGTTCTAGTGTTCTATGATTCTATCCCACCATAGGGCTGGAGCACACAAAATCTACTTGCCTGGGGGTCAGCCACTGATTAAATAAAAAAAAAAGTTTTCCACCCCTACTTATCAGGTATTCGACTACTCGCTTACAACATCCTTAGCCACAATCTTTCTACCTGACTTAGAAGTGCTAGCTTAGCCAAATTACTCCATTCCTGACCTGTGGGATGATGCAATATATCTGCAGCAGGGAAGTGTAAGGACACATTTTCCAAATAAGTATGTAACATGCAGATGTCCCTCATTGCTCTAGCTACAAACTTTGATGCCAAATAAGGAAGATAGACAGCAAATGTCCTAATTTCCCAGAGTATTTAAGTGTGATCTTACTTTGTCTCTTGAATAGGAGAAATCGGTCCTTCATCATCTACATATTTGTGATTCCGCATCGCCAAACATTCGTTTTCTAAATCGTCACTAGCACTCATTTTTTCTAAAGCCTTTTTTAGATGTTCTTCACATTTGAGCGTACTGACATACTGGAAAAACCCTTGTAAAGCTGCTTCCTAAGAAAAACGGATTTGTTATAATATGCATATTGTTTATTTAAGATTTACTATAAAAAAGACCCTTCAGCATACAGCAATTCCTCATTTAGATATGTTTCAGAAATGATCATGCTAAGTGAAAACGTGTTATGTGGGGTCAATTTTCCCACTGAAAATAATGGGAAAGGTGGAGGTTGTGTTTCAAGTGGTGGTGTCGAAGTCAATTTTCTGTTGGTGCTGAATCGTCAACGTCAACATTAGACAACCTACTGTACAGTAAAACAACAACTGTCCGGCATCCAGTTGTCTGGCATCAACTGGAACTTGGAAGTGCTCTAGTCAGCCGCTCTCTCAGCCGGACTGCTGAGAGCCGCATGTGTGCTCCAGCCTGCACTTGCTAGCAGCCAGCCCTGCCTTGGGCCTGGGGCATAAGGTTGGGAGAGAAAGGGGACTGGGTTACAGCAGGGAGAAGAGGTGTTTGGCTCTGGGGAAGGGAAGGAGAGGAGAGGGAAGGGTATTTGGTTGGGAGTATGCCCCTGTGATGGGTCTGCTGCGACCCGCACTGCGTCCGGCGAAGGGGGGTCGGCAGGGAATGGCACGGCAAGTGGCGAACCCTCCGCCGCTCTGCAGGGAGGCGGGGGAAGCCCCGCAATAACATGATTTCCCCAGCCGGCCCGTTGCCAGAGGCTGCGCGGGGCTTCCCACGCCTCCCTGCAAAGCAGTGGAGGGTTCGCTGCTTGCCACGCCGTTCCCCGCTGCCCGCCCCCCACCAGACGCAGTGCGGGTCCGGGCAGACCCGTAACAGCCACTTTATAGTAATTCCCGGTACACCGGATTATCGGAAGTGTTAAACGAGTAATTACTGTAGTTTTAAAATGTGCTATATAGCGGATCAGTTTCAAGCATTTAGTATAATAAGTTACCGTAAATTAGTGTACACAACCCGCGGTTTTCCCCGATTGAGTAAAAAAAAAATCTTGTAAACCTGTGCACGTGACTAGCCTGCAGGGTATACAAGACTTGGTTTTACCTTGTATTTTAAACTG